ACAGAGTTTCTTTTCTTGTTAATTCCAAGAACGGAATGATATGTCCAATAATCACTCTCATGACATCCTTTTGCAGATTTTCGTCGAGTAAACGATACTTCCATGCATGGTGCGTGTTCTTTCCCATATAAAACTCATCCACTTCTTCACTATGGACGGCGAGCTCAAACATTATCAGAATGTTCATACAAATCTAATGGTTACAACGAGAAAAAGAAACTGCAGTACCAGAGACTGCTTTTCATGTGGCAAATACTCAACAAGCTGCATACAAAGCGGCCGACATAGAGCCAACATCCTTTCATCCCTACCCTCCACTGCTAGCTCCATTATTCCCTCGAGGGTCTGAAGAATGACCAATCTTCTCTGATCCTTTTCCTCCTGCTTGAACTCAGCTTCCAATCGTTGCACATCCGAATAAAAACAATCCAACGGCTGCACGGCTAACAAGCCTCGGATTGCACACTGTCTCACCAGAAAGTCGCAACTTGATGCTGCCTTCTGAAGAATTATCCGAAAAGCCTTGTCTGGTTCAGCGGAATTGTGGTTTGCGAGCTTTTCAAACAGATAAATGGCCTATGTTCCAAGCTGGATAGAATAATCATACAGCAAAGCAGCCACGCGATTGCAAACGGTGATTCGAAAGGTAGAAGAGCAACGAGTCTCGAAAATCGGGAAACTCCAAATCGACCGCCCGATTCGAGATGCGATTTAACCGATAGCTCGACGTATCGACAGGCTTTCGGAACATTTTCAAGAGAAGCGTTTCATAGAGTCTGGATGCAGATGACCGCAGATTCCAACTACATTCAATCGTTCTGAAACGGATCTACTCGTCCGCATCGAGGAATTCGATAGAACGGAACAGGATGGAAACCATGGAGCCAGCAAAATCCTCGAATAGATTTGCTTCTATCAAGCTGGTTATCACGTTCGTTACATGAACGATTGCTGAAGACGACAAGGAATCATCCAGCATCCATTGAATGAGTGAAAGCGGTAACTGTCGTGAGAGGTGTCCGAATACTTCGCAAATACTGCAGCACTAGAAGTCATTCAACCCCAAAATACATGCCAGAGCAGGAAGTCCAGCGCTTCGACGAATTGGCGGAAGTGTGCTTGTGATGGGAAGGGACCGAGCTCTTGCGACCACTTCATCAATTTCGGTAGGATTGGCCGTAATTTCCTTCCAACGACTCAAAACAAGTCGATAGCAAATCGATGCCTATGTCTGAATAAGCAAATTAAATGTAACCCGCTTGAGAATGCCTTGATGATATGTATGCAGAAGCAATTCTTCGAAGAGGATGCGGTAATGGTTAAGTTTGCATTCAGCAGTACAATTCTGGATGATGGAGCAAAGGGAGGTGAGGCAATACTTGCAAATTTCCCAGTTCTTGACGATCTCATTTACTGATAGTGTGTCTATATGGTCCTTATCTGCTTCATTATCATCCTCTCTATCAGCATCCTCTCTATCAGCATCCTCTCTATCAGCATCCTCTCTATCAGCATCCTCTCTATCAGCATCCTCTCTATCAGCATCCTCTCTATCAGCATCCTCTCTATCAGCATCCTCTCTATCAGCATCCTCTCTATCAGCATCCTCTCTATCAGCATCCTCTTCTTCACCTTCACCATCATACTCTCCTGGAACTCCCAATCCATTGCTATTTCCACTAGCCATTGGAGATAATCGAATTACTCTATTCATCAAGATCGATCAATTTTCAAACTCTGTAATTTGAGTTATCATTTCTTCCTCGTCCATCGAAAGATTTGACAGAATACTCGTCACTTTCGTATCATTACCAATCTCTCCTTGGCCCGATGCACAGCAAAACTTCCAAAAAGCATTTCCAAACAGAGAAAGGACCCACCACGACAGATCATTGAGAGACTCTGGAAAACGACTAAATGCTATTTTGAAAACAACGAGAAAAGTACCTTAGGAAAAGAAGAATGGCAGGGACCGGATAATCCTTCGTATCTGGAAGTGTAAGCACCACAGATGGTTTCTTTCCAGAAATACGAGAAGAGATCCAGGAAATCAAAACTCCGCTTCGGTAGACAGATTCATGGTAATTTCTCATCCGATAAACAGCGAGAGATTCAAAAAAATCTTCTTCTTTGCCTTGACAACCTCGTAAATACTCCAATTCCCCTCTCAATTTTAGCTTTCCAAGCTTATTTAGAAGCATATACAGCCTCTCGTATACTTCTAACAAGGGAATTCTCTCACGGATCTCAGCAAACACGTTAAGTGGAATAGACTCTAAACAAGCCGAGAGTTTCTACATTTCATCCCTAGGGAATAACGCGACTCCTAAGACTCGAGCATCACCAAGAAGCATTTCCATTATCATGCGGATAACCAAATAAGAAATAGATAAACAGAAACTATCACGATTTAAGAAGTCCTGCATATTCCTATCTATGAAATAATAATACAAATCGCTCCACAAAATTACCTTCGTTAATCTCTTTGGCAACACGATCTTTACAGGTAGAATCGTTTTCACACGACTCCTTCTTGTCTCGAGTTTGCTTTGTAAAGTCCACTTTTGCAATCGAGCTAATCGTACCACATAACGTGTGAGCACAAAGAAGAGAATATTCTGACCAACTGACTCGACTTACTAATTTGATAATCAATCCATCAAGCAAAGTCAATGATGAGGGACACACAAGATTAAATGGCTGAAGCTGGTCTTCAAACTCTTTTGTACAAAGAGGTTGAAGGGCATGACGCTGAATCCACTTTTGAATAACAACGAACGAAGAATCAACTACAGATCAAGTAAATGCAGATTTCCAAACGTAGTGCATGATAATTCCCATACTCTTCGACGATGTTGAGATCCCACAAAGAGAGAACGCTCGCTTCATCCGAAAGCAAGGTACAAAGCACACAGAATGCCAAAATCCTTGTGCGTTCTTCAGGATGAGACAACAGAACAGCTTGATTCTGAGTGAACACCTGCAAGAACGGATGGTTTGCTTTGTTGCATGTCCTCAAAATAGACAAAATCGTATGCAAACGAGTTGTGGAAAGAGACAAAAGAGACGGCACATCTAGAGAATATGCTGTTGTTCCCACAATCCATTCAAATAAACGATCAGCATAACTTGGCCATTTTGATTTCTAACACAATAAGAGTGACACAGCAAGCGATACATATAGATTACTCACACAATTGATAAACCCCTCCTGTGCGTCCAATTCTGCCTTCGTAGCAAACTCCCGAGAAATATCAACACAGCCGCTTTGTAAAAGAGTTAAAACCTTAGGAACAAGTTATAAAATAAATAAAAATGTACTGCTTTTTCAAAGTCCTGACTAGAGCCAGAACAGTTGAGATCGGATAAAATACTATCAACAATCTCGACAAAAACACTCCAGTTCTTATAAAATCGAAACTGTCGAATGCAAAAACCGAGAATCTCCAACGATGTTTCCAAAGAATGGGAATGTGAAAGAGAGAGTTTTAAAAAGGGTGGTATGTTAGTTGCATGACTACCATAAGCAATTAGCTGATGAACGATATCATCTGAGGAAGGAAGCGAACGAAGAAGAGACTTGAAAATGGAATGAGTCGTTTCCTTTGAGGCAACATTCAGAGAAATAGAGACGCTTAAGTCAAAAGCAGTTTCTCTGATCATGGTGAGTGCTAGCATTTTACCAAACATGTTATCAATTCTACAGGATGGGGTAACAGCACATAGAAATCGCATAAACTGCTGGAAGAGAAGAACATAAATACTGCTCATCTGCAAATGACTTTCGGTAACAAGCCTAACCATTTGACTTATAGAGCGAAAATGAAGCAACTCGTCATACACACGATCAATCGAGTCTGTGTCATCTGTATGCTTTAACAGCAACTGCTTATTCAAAGAAATTTGATTATACACTAAAAGGTAGAAAATAGAAAGTGATTCAATACAGGTAACAAGTTTCCTAGAATCACTAGGAAAGGTGATGGAATTCCATTGAAGAGGACAAGGTGGTTGGAGCCGTTGAACAAGCATATCTGTTGAAAGAAGAGTTGGCAGATCAGAAGCAGAATTCATTTGCTCCTCAGCACATTGAATAAGAGGTAGTATTGACAGAGATTGATCTTTGAGGAAAGGCAGTAGATAATGGAGAATGGAAAGAGCGTGCTGGAACTCATTCATTTGGAGTGGAGAACATATCCTCTCGAAGTGCAGCTCGAAAAAGGTCAGAAAACTGGAGATCGCTGCAGACTACAACTAATATACAAAAAGGCAATCTCAAACATCCACAAGAAAGTGGCGAACAGAAGGAGCGCAAATCAGCCTTTTAAGTTGCTGATAATCACAGTGAATTCTTTTTTCTTTCAAATAAGCAAATATCTCGGCTATAATATTGCTCTCCGTGCAATTCGAATTAGAGTTAATCAGTGATATGCACTCCTGGTAAATGTCCTCCCGTAGTGGTTTCCCCGCAATAATTTGCTCAGTTAGTTGAAATATACGGCTCATTGCAGCTTATTAAATAAATCGTTCAAAGAAATGGTACCGGTGTAGGGAGGAACTTCGAGAGAAGGAAATTCCTGCAAATTCTCACCGCTAGTTTCTTCGGATGGCTTCTTCTCCACGGCTGAATCCTCGGACGAACAAGACATACTTTTCAATATCCTATCAAGTTTCTTCTGAAGTAATTGTGGAAAACGCGTGTAACAACAATACGAATAGTATTGTCACAAAAGGCTAGTATATTGCGTGATTTTGAAGGGGTTTTGCCGAAAAGAACAATCGAAAGCTTTTACAAGCACAAAATATAGACTATTTTGGTGTTTAGTATTAGGATAGAGAAACGCTCTTTTTCATATTATTATTCTAGAACTATTTGCTTTGTAATTATGAGTTCTGATCTGGGTAGCCGTGCTTGTACAGTGTACCATTCTTCTAACTAAACCGTGAAAGATAGGAAATGCTGTATTTGCGGAGTTGATATTCCTGGGGATGGACCACGCATGTGTACAAAGTGTTTGATGATGAATACATCTGTTGGGGACCACATTGATAGTGAAGCAACAATCACTTTTTGTCCAGAATGTAACAAGTGAGTGTGGGAATAATTCTTCATCGCCTAGAATTTTAACAGGATCGCGCCAGTGGGTTTTTGTGGAACGAGAATCGGTTGAAGAATTGGGGATCATGCTCAAGATGATTCATGGTTTAAAGAAGGTATTTTGCATTATGTTTTGTCAATTGTAGAACGAACTTGTTGATGCGAAGTTTGTATGGACGGAGCCTCACAGTCGGAGAATTGTAATCGAGTTGAGCATCAAGCAGGAATTAGAAAACCGAACCACTGTCATTGTGAGTAGTTTCGTGGAGTAACTAGGAGATAGGGTAAAAAACGCATTACTTTTACCCAGACGCAGCGCATCTGTCCTGATTGTCAACGAAATGTGACTAATTTCTCTTGGGAAGCTGTGGTTCAAATCCGTCAGCGTGTATGCGACTCTTCGCTTCAGGTTTATTTTGTAGGCGGAGCATAAAAAAACATTGTTTTGGCTCGAGCAAGAACTAATCAAGAATCACCGCTATGAAGACTCGTTGTCCTTGGAGATTGTGAGCGGCGGGCTTGACTTTTATTTCTACAAATTGAAAGAAGCACAGTCGTTTGTGGAATATGTGAAGTCTATTGTTGCTACAAGGTTTTTATTTTCTATTTATTATCTCTAACCGTTTAGCCAAAAGTACAGCAAGCAGTTGCATGGAACGGACCAAAAGAATCATGTTGCTTGGTACCGCCATTCGTTTTATCTTGAAGTTCCTTCGGTTTGTAAGGTAGAGAATCACAGCCACAAGTGAATTTTAGAACGATCTGGTCATCCTTCCAAGATCCTGTGCATGTGATCTGGCTGTTCCGTTTGTGCTTTGTACTCGAATTACCTCGAATTTATCGTTCGTTCAGCCTACGAGTGGTAAAGTAGGAACTGAAGAATTCTAAGTGATGTCGTAGGTCGTGACAGTGTCCGGTACATCCTACAGCAAGCATCCGTTCAATCCTCTTCTAAATTCGAACCATTTGAAGGAGTTTACAGTTCTGGATGTTCAGTTGGATCACCCATCCCAGCGAACGAATCGTGAAATCACAGAAGAAAACAATATTGTTATGGGGGATGTCGAAGTAATTCGAAGCGATGATTTCGGTGTCAGTAATGAAACGATTATCGTTCGATCTCATCTGTGTGGTGTTTTGGAGCCTGGAATGCTGGTAATGGGGTATGATTTACGTCGATCAGCGTTGAACAATGACGAATATGAAAAGTACGCGGATTTATTACCCGACGTAGTATTGGTGTGCAGAGCAAAGGATCCTGAAAGAAAGCAGAAGCAGAATAAGAACAAGAATAAGGAAAGATTGAGAGAAGTGAATACTGCATCTGAAGAGCGAAATCGAGAAATTGAGCAGTACGAAGAGGAGCGAGAGCAGTATTTTTTGGAAGAGGAGAATGATAGCGAGGAGGAGAATGATAGCGAGGAGGAGAATGATAGCGAGGAGGAAACGAAGGAAAAGGACAATGGAGAGGAAACGAAGGAAAAGGTAATGTAGAGGAATGAAAAGCATCTCTATTTGTAGCCAATAATAATATATTACTATTATACAACAAATCCCACATCATAGAATACTTTCGGTGATTCTGACTCTTTCTTGTCCTTTCCCAACTACCTTGAACTTGTGATTTATGACTGACTTCACTATAATATCTATTAGTTCAAAAATGAAATGAGACGAATCAAGAAATCATGAAAACGATACAATGGATATTGATCCAGTTTCTATTCTAAAGTATGTGTGGATATTTAACATCTTAAAACCTTCGTAGAGTGAAATACTACTCATATTAATCAAACACAACATATAGGCATATTTTGCTTTACATAGTTATTCCTTTTTTCGAAATAATCACTGTCTTTTAATTGGGATTTTCAATTCCATTTAGACATTCATATCCTTTTTCACACTTCCCTTTTTAGAAACAGATTTTCTTTTGGTATTTTGCTGTTTTTTACTTCTCTTCACACAAACTAAAATAAGCGCAATAACCACAATAATCACAACAACAACTACTACCAGTACAATTAAGAAAATAATCGAAATACAGAACCCACTCGTTCTTTGCCATTCGCCACCCTTTTCGCCAAGCTTGCAGGCTCTTTTCTGTGTTCCAATATATAGACCATCCGATGCGCATTCATAAACAGCCACTTTTCCAACATATGTCATTGGGAAGTGGCCATCTTCTTCACACCTTCCTCTTTGGACATTGAATAGGAGCGTCGTAGACACAATACCCACTTGATTCTTTCCAAAGATTGTGCAATTTGACTTTCCGATATCCATTACCGGAGTTCCAACAATCTCTCCAGATATCGGGTTTAGCGTAAGCCCAAGAGGCAGACGGTTATTTTCGGCCAAATAAAACTCTTCAATAACATTCTCATATGCAGGTGGAGCAATGGATATCGCAATATCTAATGTCAGATTGTATTCATTGTGCTCATATGTCAGATTTTTAGGTTCGAGCTGAATGCAATGTCTGTAGTCAATCTCTCCCAATTGACCATTGGAACAAGTACGATAAGAATAGCCTCGATATCCCTTTTCGCAACTACCAGGTGAAATCTCTCCTTCTCCCACAGGAGGGTATTCATCAACACCAGGACATGACCCACTTCCACTCACTTTACAGTACTGAAGCATGTAGGAACTCACATAGACTATGCTTGATGCAGCGACATCCACTTCAAATCGAAGCTGCTTGAATCCAATAGTACCCACAGGAGCAGGCCAAGCATTGCGCCTTAGTGCCTGAGTAGTCTGATCAACCGTCTCAACTGCTGTGATATAATCATCAAATGTATTTCTGCGACCATAGAGAGAAAATCCATACTCACTACGAGAATAAACGGTTTGCATAGCAAAACTATTGAACTTTATTCCTTCCAAGTTTTCCACCGCCCATTCCAGATAGGTTCCCATAACGTTCTCCTGATATCCGTAAGTTGTGGGATTCAAATCAAATAGTTCTTCAATAGAGCATAAACTAACCTCCGAACCATCGATTGATGAGTAAGTGTCCACAACAATCGAACACTCATTCACTCCAAATACTCCGGTAGCATCGAACACAACCGGATTTGACGATGACTGATCCATAGGACGATGAATTTCAAAAGCCATCATGTTCTTTCCCGTTCTTCCAGCAACATTCGTCATAATTATGTGGAACATGGAGAATACCTTTTCATCACGGAGGGTAAATGACATCGTCTCCGAATCGAAGATTTCCCCCATATTAAAACGAGCTACTTTGAATCCATTAAAGTAGGCGACAACACCTCCAGTGTATTTCACACGAATATTGAGCACATGGTAGTTGCCAATATCTGGAATGTTTACTTCTTTACGAATGTAGGTGGTTATTTTACTATTCGTTCCAATCAGACTCGCCTTCTTAGATTCCCAATCAGAGTCATCAAAGTCAACAGTATTCCAATTCTCCACCCAATCATAGTTGACCTTCCATTCGGTATACTCAATCTGGAACGGAAGATATGAAGAAAACATTGTGCTTACGGAATGAGTGTTCGCAGGGAGCTGTCCCATTTCAAAAATCATTGCACCCATATCCACGGTCAGATAATACCCAGCAGGATTAAACCAGCCATCCCCTCCAGAATCAAGTAATTGAATAGTGTAGATATCATTATCCAGACAGAAATCTCCATAATTCAAACCACTACCAGTAATGAAACTATCTATAGAAGCGACAACAGTTCCACTTGTACCAATTCCCTGATAGACCTTGTAAGAACCTTCGCCTGGCCAGCTATCAGTGCGAGCCACTAAAGTAATCAATGATCGGCTCCCAGTGCAAACTTCAACAGAAAGCGAAAAAGAAACAGAGGAAGTACCTCCACTAAGTTTGCTGGCAGTGATTGTATAGGTTGTAGATATCTTTGGAGCGGTAGCAGTTCCAGAAATCATGCCTGTGTTCGGGTCAAGAGAAATTCCAGCAGGAAGACTGGGGCTGATCTGGAAATTGTAGTAATACGGAGAGTTCGGATAGACTTCTCCCATTTCAATATCCTTGAAAATGGTAAGTAGTAGGGGAATGACGGGAAACGCGCGGAACCCAAAGTCGCCCCTCCGACCTCATCTACGAGAGTGCGCGGCTCAAAGTCGCCCCTCTGACCCCATCTTTGTTTTCGCGTATTCCCGTCAGAACACAAAAAATCCCCCAAAGTCACCCCTCAGACCCCCTCAACTGGTACCTTGATTTTTGCGTTTCATAAGAATTTCAGCACTCATGAGTAAAACACGAGTGCTGAAATGTGCGATATCCATGACTATTATGGTTGTTATTGCTGGTCAATGTGATCATTTTCGACCATTTCTGCCATTTTCTGCCATTGCCTGCCTGGCTACCGTATTGTCCATAACAAGAAACGCGCGGAAACCCATGGCTGCCAATTTCGGCCAATTTCTGCAATGTTAACCTGACTTCCATTGTAGGCCATGGTATCCATGGTTGTCCAAAGTGAAAGATTGCTTCCTTTACTTCAGTCTATAATGCCCGAATGCAAGTGTGTGTATGTTGTCGTCCAAGATCCATCTCTTGTTGTCCGTACAAGTCATGAGGGTCTTGGTTTGCTCCTTCGTGCTGATATCGAAGGCCTGGTTGTTGATACGCTTGAAAGTACCTTCGATCACTGCATCTTCCTTCTTCTCTGCCTCAAGGACGCGCTTGTACAGCTCGATGTTCTTCACGCTCATCCTCTCTCCATCAATCACCACATTGCGAGGAACTCCCTTCGCTGCGTTATGCACTACATGCTTCTCGTCAATCAAACAGTACATCTTTGGTCTAAGTCCCACGAATTCAGTGATGCGATGCCCGTTATGCTCATCCTTGAAGATGGGTCCCGGCAACTTCTTGTTGAAGTTGAGGAATGATTCCAATGAAGGGAACTTGCTCTTGTCCACTTCATGCTCGTAGTATTTTACGAGTTCTCCGTAGAAGTAGCTCGTATTATCCAACTCAGAAAAGTCAAACGACTTGTACATATCGCACATTTTGTGGACGATGTTACCACGGTCGTTCAACTGCACGATGAGCGAGTCCGTGTCCTGTCCCAACAACTCCACGGTGTCGAATGTGTTCTTGAGCACGTTGTAGTAGAAATCGTAGATGATGTGCTTCGACATGTCGAGAATGGCAAACCCGATGAAGAACGGCTTCTCTACCTTGCGCACCGGTGTGTTCAGCTTAATGCCGATGAGATTCTCGGAATACATGGTTGTTCCAGCAATCATGTCGTATCCGTGCTTCTGGATGATAGCCTCGCGTTCATTCCACGTGTTGGCGAACTTCACCTTCATTCGCTTCAGTCCAGTCTCAACGAATTTGCCATAGGTTGAGTTTGCTAACAGCTTATACAGGTTCTTCTCCACAGTGGTCTTGGACTTGGCTCGTTTCTCACTCAGCATGTTCACGTACTCGAAGATAAATGGTGCCTGCTTGAAACGGATGATGCGGTAGATGTGCGTGACGTGATAACCCTGTTGAAGACCCAATTGCAGCAGAGAGTAGTGTACGAGATATTTGCGCCGAGGCACAAAATCGCAGATGAGCTTCGGTGTATTCACCTCTTTCACTTTGTCCACAATGTCGTTCTTCTCTACGTACTTCTTGATTCCATCGGAGTACATGCCCGCCTTCTGTACGGGGAAGAATGGTAAGTCATTGAATTTATCATGGAGTTCCACTGGTGCCTCGATGTCGCACTCGATGAAGAACCCATACTTGCCGAACGTATTGAGTGATTGCACCCATTCATTCGGATCACGGTTGATCCTTTCCATTACTTCTCGTCGCTCGGGTACACCCACTATTTCATAAGGCATCATTCTGTGCATTGCTCCTCCATACAGGTTGTTGGCGTCGAGGTAGTAGATGGATGATTGCTCTCCGTTGTTGGCGGTGCTGTCAAGGTCGACTTTGGCATGCCTTTTCACGATCTGTGTGATGCCTCCTCGAAGGTTTTTGAGTAGACGCATGAAGTCATCGATCTCATTTGTCTCCATCAATCGAATTCCCTTGCTCTCATAGAACTCACCCATGCGGTTCAAGAACACTTTCACGAGTTGTTTCTCCTCAAGTCCCTCATTCGCGTTGATGCGCATGATGTACTGAGCCCATTTCCTTGCGAGGGTCATGAGGCTACTCTCGCTATGATCGCCCTCCATTGTGACCTTTAAGAAGAGCGAATAGGCCATTTGTGGTGCTGTGATGTAGTGCATCGGATCAACACCGAATGCCTTCAGTGTGGTAACGCGGAAGTGCTCGAATGCATCAGCCATGAGAGTTACATCGAGTACATTGTACAACTCGTAGTACTCACCCCATGTCTTGATATCGAAGATCTTCCACAGTTTCACCATGTGATCATATTCGCCTTGGGGCATCATTTCTCCCTTCATATCATCAATGCATTGTTCACGAGAAGGAATGGTGGTATTGTTCAATGTGTCGTACGATTTGATGA